GGCCCAAGCAGAGCTCAGTGGCAGAGACCAGGCCCAAGTAGGGGCTGCAGCAGAGGCCCTTCTGAGGCCTGGCCTGCAGACACAGCGGGGAAGCTGTGCCTGCCTGTGACCATGGCTGAGAAGACACCGAGAGCTGTCTAGGTTGGAAGCTGTCCTGATTAGCCAGTCGTATCCTGTCTTCTGAGTTGTTCCTGTTACTTCTAAGTTGCTCCTGTCCTGAGGTGCAGCCTGTTACTTCCCTAATAAACCACATGATCATGAGTATGGTCTGAGTTCCACGTGCTGCTGCAACGGACTGTCGAACCCAGCAGAGAAGCAGAGAGTCCGTGGGGAAGATGGCTGCTGTGAGAACCAGTAAAAAGGCTGGAGAGCAGAGGTCTATCTGATGGCCACCTCACAGAAATTGGCTTTGGGCTGATCTTGATTCTCATTATCCCCCCTGAAGTTACAGGACCTCCGACCCCACTAGGTCATAACACCTTGGAAGACTGTTTCACGGTTTCTAATAAAGTTAAAACATACATCTACCCTGTACCTCTACAATTCCCCTCATAAGTATTTACCCACGAAATGGAAATGTATTTCTATCCTGAGACTTGCACAAGAATGTTCACAGAAGCTTTATTCATTAATGATAGAAAACTGGAAACAGTCCAGATGTCTGGCAACAGGAGAACAGATAAACAAATTGGGGTATACTCACACAATGGAATGCTACTCAACAAGATGGAAAGGATCACTGACATACGCACCACGTGAAAGAACCTCAAAATGATTATGCTGAAGGAAAGACGTCAGACACAGGAAGAGGAGGAAGAAATGGATGTGTGGCCAACTGCCTCCATGAACAAACTGCTTCCCTCTGCCATGAGACCAGAAGAAGTGGATGGTGCCCAGCTACTATGACTGAACATTTCAATCAGATTCCATAGAAGAATCTTGATCCAAAAGGGGGAAAATGCAGAACAGATTCTCAAATTCTCATGGAATTCAGATTTTCTGGAGTCATGGAGCCTGGGTGTAACCCCTAAAACTATGGCCCTGAGGTAATTTTTAAACTTTAAATCAAAACTATCCCCTGAAGTCATCTTAAAACCAGGTAACAGTTGAACTTAACTGGTACAGAATGCCTGCCTGGAGCACGCTGCTCTTTGAAGAACTGTCTATGGGATCAAAGTGACAACAGCAACTGGAAAGACTAGATGGGAACTTTAGGGGGCATGAGTTTATGTTAATGAGAGAGGAACAACTCAGAAAAGGAGGGCGAGAAGGTTGCACAACTCAGATTGTCATCACCGTCACTGTGCTGTACATGGACAAACTGTTGCACTGGTGCGTGTTCTGCTGTGTATATTCTCAACAACAAAATATATTAAAAAAAAAAAAAGGGGGAAAGAAGCTAGGTACATACTGTACATGGACATATTGTATAATGCCAATGATAGGAAATTCCAGGACAGACAGAACTACTGCGACACAAAAGAGATCAGTGGCTGCCTTGAGCTGGCGGGGGGAGACTGACTGCAAGGGCACATGGGGATTTTCAGGGATGCTGGAAATGTTCTGTCTTGACTTGGGAGAGAAATGCACAGGTGTGTACCTGCCTATGTCAATGGTCCTTACGTGGTGCAAACAGCCTGTGTTCGACTAGTCACCTCAAAGTTAGTGATTCACAGCCACCAAGTGGAGCTTGGAAGAAAGCTTGGTGAGCTGCCTCCATAAAAATTACAGTCAAGAAAGCCCTATGGTCCTACTGTGCAACACATGGGGTCGTCACGAGTAAGAACTGACGACAGTTACAGTTTTCTTTTGTTTTACATCTGTCCAAACTTTTTGTACAAAACTCACTGCCACTGAGTCGATTCTGACTCACAGTGAAGGCTGTAAATCCCAAGGCTGTAAATCTTCCTGGAAATAGATTGCCTCACCTTCCTCTCATGGAGCAGCTGGTGGGTTTGAACTGCTGACCTTCTGGTTAGCAGCCAAATGCCTTATCCACTATGCCACCAGAGCTCCTTTTGAACTGTACATGTATATGTCAGATATACCTCAATTAAATGAAGTTCTTCACTGCAGGGAAAAAAACGTGTCCTGTAGGAACCTGGGTTGCTTCCCTTAGACTTGTGAACTGGGATGGCCCCAGTGGGTTATTTTGACCCACCAGTGTTTCACAGATGCATCAGCTGGTTAGCTAAACCTCACACACCCAGCTCCACTTGACTCCCCCAGTAAGAAGAGGCCTGTGCAGACTCCTTCAATGTTCAGAATGCAGCTAAAGGCACGCGTCTGTGGAAAACTCTCTAGCCAATAAAGTGACTAACAGAGGCAGCCCCAGACGATGCATTCTCTCCATGCCAGGGCACTGGCGAGAACCTCTGAGGCCCAAGCAAAGCAGGTTTTCTCTCAGGCAGCGACTGGACCATAGAACAAACAAGGGCCCCTGCCTGGTTTCATAACCATGATGTGAACAGTTTCCTCCCGGCCCTGTGTCGGTGGCCCTGTGTCTGTTCTTTGTCTCTTCAGTCGGGTCCTCTAGAGGTCAGGCAGCAGATGTGACTCACCCGCCCCGGCCCGGCACCTGGAGGCCTGGAGGGAGCCAGCTGGGGCAGGGATCGGCAGGGCGTCTGCTTACCTCGTAGTCCTGGTCTCCCCCGGCTCCGGCTGAGCTGCCCACCAGCACCTCCACGAAAGCAGAGCCGTCGTTGCCGATGTCCACGCTGTGTATGTGCTCCTCCTTCTCCAGCTGTGGGGAGAGGACAGCCCACTGTCAATGCCTGCTCTGCCCGGGGACCTTCGGGGCCCCATGTCCCCTTAGAGTGCCAGCTCTGCGCAGGGGGGGCCGGGCTGAGTGGTGCCACTGTATCCCCAGCACCAAGCACAGGGCCTGGCTCCATGAGCTGGAGCTCACGAAAACGTCACTGAAGGAAAGCAGAACACTCCACCCAGTACCGTCTTTCACCAGCCCCTCCAGATTCTACCAGGCACCCGTAGCACACGTCACCAAGCTGCTCTCCAGGTGTATGTTTATGCAAATAATCATGCAGACAAACGGCACATCTGCTGCCCCTGGTCCCAAGGTCAGTGGAAGCCCCGAGGGCGAGGGCCCTGTCGGAGTTTGCGCACCACTGAATCCTGCGTTTGAATTCAGCGCAGCCGCTCGGCGCTTCAGTTTCCTCATCTGTACACTGGGGGTGATCCCATTGTGAGAAAGACATGAGATCGTGCACGTGTGCCCTGTGGCCACGGGGCAGGTGGGCGGCACTCAGCTGCTGTCATTTGGAAGGCAAGCTTAGCTCGATAACTCTTTATTGAAACAAAAGCCACATCCAGGGGAGCTTCTCCAAGGATCTGCCGTGCTGCAGGCCACCTGATGGTTGGAGGCGTGGGAAGCGGTGCTGGGGTAGGAGCAGTCAGGTCTGGCAGAGGCGAGCCTCCTGCCCGCCAGCATGGGACTCCTTTCGCTGGCTTCTAGACCGCTGAGTTACGTGGTCCACACGCTCACCCTCACCACCCAACGCTCTGATATAGTCTATAATCACCCAGGCCGGAGAACCTCCAGACATCACCTGCCCACTGCCACAAATGGAAAGACCCTTATGTGGGAGGCAGGGGCCTGCACTTGGGGGTGAAACAAGCCTGAGTTCAAGTCCAGCATCTCTGCCATGTCTGAGCTGTGCTACTAGGTGGCATGCCCAACCTCTCTGATGGGCTATCTCCTCACACACGAAAGGAGAGGGTAAGCCATGAGGACCCTCCTCATGAAGGGAGTGGAGGTGACAGAGAATAACCACCACCATCACTGCAGCTGGCGTGTGGGGGCTCCGGCTGTACCTGCTCTCTTCACAACCTCTCGGCGGGTAGGCGGGCAGGCACTATTATTATCTCCATTTTACACACGAGCATCTGACATGAGGCAGGAAACGGTTAGGGAACTTCCCCAGGGCCACACAGCTAGTGGGTAGTGGAGCTGGGACCAGAGCCCAGGCAGATTGGCTGCAGAATTTTAAAGTATATGTTGACCCTATGGTTTCATGTGGGTGATTTTTTAAAGGAGCACAGTACTTGCAGGTAGTATTTATTACTCTGTAAGCCAAATCGCTATTTAGCTACAAGGTAACTTCAGGGGTTGGTTTCAGTTCAAGGTTTAAAGAGTATCTCAAAGCAATAGTTTCTCTCTTTTTTTTTTTTTAAGGAATTTGAAGTCTGTTCCACATTTTTCTCCCATTCTATCAGGGTCCCTCTATCATGGCTCTGATCAGAACAGTCAGTACTGGCAGCCGGGCACCATCTAGGTCTTCTGGTCTCAGGGTAGATAATGCCATGGTTCAGGTGGCCTGTCTCATATATGAGTTTCTTCTCGGACTCTTTGGTTTCTTTCTTTCTCTTTTTCTCCAGACAAGCAGAGACCAATAGTTGTTATCTTTGATAGCTACTCGCAAGCTTTTAAGACCCTAGACATTACTCATCAAACTAGGATGCAGAACATAAATTTCATGAACTATATTATGTCAATTGACTGAGATAGTCCTAATCCTTCAAACCCAGAACACAATCCCATGAAGTGTTTAGTTATGTCTAAGAAGCATCCATAACTTATTATATTTATAAATATATA